GGCTGAAAGGGCGAGCATGTTTGGTGGGATGCGGATTCGAACCCGCGACCTTCAGATTGTGAGTCGAGCGCCTTATCCACCTGGCCATGCCGGGCACACCAAAAAAAATAAGGTAAATTCTGGAATATAAAATTACACGGATATGAAACAGGCACATTAGGTAGTTCATAGTATTTAAAATGGGCAGTAGATTTCATGTTTTTGTTTTTGATGAACAAGCAACGTGAGTATTATAACAATAAACACTATTTAATTTTAAATACTATCTGTAACTCTCTAGCGTGAAGCACTCATTCTCTTATCTTGTTTTTGCTTATAGCTGTCACTGGATGCGATGAAATATGCATGTAATACTGTGAAAGTTAACAGTATATATTCTATGTTTAAGTCGAGTTAAAAAACAAAGTTGTAGGAATATTTTTTTCTTATTGTTTCCGACAAAATAGATATGACATCGAAGAATCAGAATATTCATTTATCGAATAAATTGATTTAAATTCAAAATCAAACTCGAAAACGACTGTTAGAATTGAAGTGCATTATGTTATTAACGGACTTTAAAAACACATAATGATAACAAAATGTTTATAAGGTATCCATAATAATATTACTGCTAAATTATGTATTCAATTGTATATGCCCCCCAGTGGTACAGCAGTATATCTGCGGACTTGCAACGCTGGAAACCAGGTTTCGATACCCGTGGTGAGCAGAGCATAGATAACCCTTTTTGTAGCTTTGTATTTAACTAAAAACAAACTGTATATATCATTAAAAAAAGAATGTACATGGTTTAAGAGAAAGTATAAGTATTTTGTATTAAATTGTGTATAAATCAATGCTTATTTTTGATGCTGCTTCTAGTTAATGGTACAACAGGAGAAGGCCCATCCCTGACAATGGAAGAACGGAAGTTGACAGCAGAGAAATGGATAATAGCTGGCAAAGGGAAGTACGTTATCAGTGACGTTTATAATTTCACATGCAGTATCTGAAATTTCATAGTTATTGTCGTCTTTCTCATTTCTAATTATATCTTTGTTACTCGTAGGTGTTTTATATTAAGCATTTTGCTTCACTTCACTGAGACTTGCACAGAACACCCATCTTTTATAAATCTGTAAGGATGATATTTTTACTTTTGCAGATATTGATTTGTTAAAACTAGTTCTAGCTTAATATAAATACCTAGAGTATAGCCCGTCAAAAATGACGGGGCGAGGACTACCACCCCCACCCCTTAGTATACCCTAGCTTTACATTTCGTAGCTACCTGAAATAAATAAATTTTGCAAATTCAAGTTTGACCAACAAAAAGGCAGAAAAGTGCAGTAGAGGCAGTCAAACGTCGGTAAATTCCTTTGTGAGCCAATCAAAATTAACACCATTCATGAAATGAACTCGTGGCGTATTCGTAGAATAATTACTGGTAAAAATCAGTTAGATTAATAACTTCTAATATATAGAAAAGACAGTGCGTTTTGGTTAATCTACGTTCCAACAATGGCTTTTATGTTATGTCGCTTAGCAACAAGAGTATAACCTAATATTGTTGTTAGTCTGTGAACTGAAAATATAAAATGAAATGTATAAACAACAAAACTGAAAAAATATTTGTTGATTTCTTAATTGAGACTCTTCGTTGATTAAAGAGGTTTGTTTTTTGTTTAAAGCGTTGGTTATATAACATAAAATAGTTTAATTCATGTTATTGAAGTCTGAGTTTAAAAACACTAGTTTTTAAATTATCAAACAATACATCATATAGTGGTCTACTTTTCTTAAAATTTTCAGTGGGCCTATCCTGGCAACTGTGTATGCATGCGTGGTATCTTATTTCACAACCTGGAATTTGTATGATGTCCCCCCCCCCCCCTATTAATCGACATAATCCTAGCATCTGGTGGAGTCGAATGTATGCGCATGCAGTGAATTGGGATGAAGTTGGAAGGTGTGGTTTTTGTAAATACCCCCTTAACATCTGTTCAGTTTTCTGGGGTACTCGTTTTGTCTGAGAGGAACCATTGCAGTTTCACTGGCCCCCAATGTAATCCACAATTAGAGAAACTGACACAAATGATATGATATTAACAATATATTAGGTCGTCAAGAAATTCATGCCGCTTTTTTTTTAGATGAAAAAACCCGAACAACATATCAAAACAAAACATCTATTAAATGAAATAGTCTCCATTCTTATCGATGATGCTTTTCCATCTTACAATCAAGTTGTTAATGTCCTGATCACAGAAATCACTTGGTTTTGAAGCAAAAAACATGTCGATGTCCTCTTTAACACCTTCCACATTTGCACACGTTTTCCCTTCAAGATGGTGTTGCAGCGAACGAAAAAGATGGTAATTTGATGGTGCCATATCTGGAGAATATGGTGGGTTGGGGAGAACTTCCCAACCCAACTACATACTCTTGTGTTGCGTCAAACGTGCCAATGTAGACGTGCATTGTCGTGGAGAAGAATACCTTTCCGATTGACGAGTGAAGGGTATTTCTGATGAAGGGCTTGATTTAAACGTTCCAGTTGCTGACAAAGATCTCTGCATTGATAGCTCGCTGTGGATTGAGGAGTTCGAAATGAATTACTTGTTTGATGTCCTACCAAATGCAAAGCATCACTTTCTGCGGATGGATTCCAGGTTCGGGGTCGGAAGTGATTTTGTCTAGGGCTGAGCCATTGTTTTTGGAGTTTAATATTTGCACAGAGAATCCATTTTTCATCACCTGTGACAATTCTGTCCAAAAATGGTTCACACGCATTACACACCAGAAGAGACGTTCACACATTGGAAACGATGATCATTGGAGAGTTCGTGAGGCACACAAACACATTCTTTATGCAGTTTTTCCATATTCCATGAGAGACATGCAATTTTAGGGCTATTTCACGAATGTTGCCTTGGGCTAGACTCAACAAGCGTCTTCAGAATATCAATATCAATTACAACATGTCGGCCCCTGCCATCACAGTTTTTATGGCTAAAGTCACCTGAACGAAATTTGCTGAACCATCGTTGACACTTATGAACGTTCAAAACATTTCCATAAACTTCTTTCATATTCCTTATGGCTACAGAGGTGATGTTTCCCTTCTTGTATTCAAACAGCATTACATGCGGAATGTGTGTCTCGTCGTGTGCCATCA